GTGTGTGTGTGTGTGTGTGTGTGTGTGTGTGCGCGCGCGTGTGTGTGTGTGTGATTTCAGGCCCAGTTGTAGCAGGTGTAGTCGGCCTAACGATGCCTCGATACTGTCTGTTCGGAGACACTGTCAACACAACATCTCGAATGGAGTCCACAAGTTTGCGTGAGTGTCCTCCGTTTATTTGATTATACAGCATATTGTGTGTGTGTGTGTGTGTTTGTGTTATTTTGTGTGGACTGGGCTGGAGGACAGGTGAACAGGTGTACTGCACTCTGCATGCTGCTGGAGGTCAAACAGGGTTTTAAAAGAGCAGCACTCACTAATCTCTTAACACCATCATTAGAATTAAAGATTAAGTTGAAGTTTTGGAATAAATTATGTGAACGATTCATTTTCTTTTCGGTGTATCCTGAGAAATTTAGAAAAATATAATGACCTAAAATCTTTCTTTGTGGTTTAAATTAAACCTGACATTTCTTCACTTGACGTTACATTTTATTAGAAAAAGTGTTCTTGCATTTTTTGGCCTTTTTTACGTTTTCTTGACTCTATTATATTTATTTTTCATACATGATTACACTCTGAAAGTGTATAAACTCTCACTGAAAAGAGCTGTTATGGATGATCTGCTGTCACCAAGTGGTGAAACATCACATTACAGCCAGACATGTGTTGAAAACCACTCAAGATACACTGTTTTGTTTACCTGACATATTATTATTATTTTATTTTTTAACAGCTTACAGAATCCATGTCAATGAAACCACAGTTAAGCTCCTGAACAGTTTGAAGATGGGCTACAAGATCCAGGTCAGAGGACTGACGGAGTTAAAGGTAAGAATCAAAGAGCTCTGCACAGAAAACACACAACCACTTTTGTCTGTAATATTAATAAACATTAATGATGATCTAATTTTAGGGAAAAGGTGTTGAGACCACATATTGGTTGGTGGGGAAGGACGATTTCAACAAGTCTCTACCAGTTCCCATAGAAAAGAAAGAGTGAGAACTTTGTTTTTTACCTGATTTTAACTTTGATAATTATGCTGCATATGTTCTGATGGATGTACCACAATGTACTGCAAATAAACGACTTATTTAAGCCTTATTTCCTAATGCAGAAATCACGGCGTTACTTTGGAAGAGATCCCAGCTGACAGAAGACAGAAGTTCTTGGATCGACAGAAGAAAACAAACTAACAAATAATTAGGGAAGATTTTGGGTAAAAAAAAAAAAAAACAACTAAAAACTGCTCACAACCAGTGAGAATGATTTCAWACTAATGGAAATTTGTCAAAAGTATATATATTCCAAACATTTTTGTTTTACCTGAATATTATCATTTAATTTATGTTTCACAGCAAAGCAGGACTAAAACTTTGGCTTCTGGGTGCAGAAATGGAGCAGTAATCAGCCACCATCTGTACAGTGTTGGAACTTTAGTTGGTTTTATGCTAAAATATACAAATACGCTATAATGAAGGTGCATTAAAATGTGTTTGTTTGTGGGTACTGCTGCTGTGCATCACGGAGGTAACCTTCTCAAGAAATGTAAGAAAACCTGTAGTTTTATTTAGAAGTTGCAGTGGTGGGTTAATCAGCTGACAGCTAATAGGTTTTTTGTTTTGTTTTGCAGATTAGCTTTTTCACAACTTTAAAAACTTAGTGGACCAATTTGCTTCTGCTAATTAAGGTTTTGCCAACTTTAAATCTGCTAACAGCTAAGTAAGTCTAACATCTCCAGGTTTGTGTCAGTCCCAGCAGTCTTCAGCTTCAAGGAGATGAAGACATGCTGCAGGCTGAGGGACACAGTGTTTAGACGTTAGCATTAGCTTCTGCTCATTTTTACTTRTTTAGGGTTAGMGAAGCCATATTTTTAGTTAGCAAATTGTTTTTGATTAGCTGTGCCCACCACTGGGAAACTGATCTACATATTTTAAAAAACTYAAAGTCAACCTAATTGTTATTTATCCACCAAGTCAGATGAGTTAAAAGATAGTTCTGATTTTTATTGATTTATTGTTTTTTTTTATTTTTTTTTTTTTTGAGGTGAAGTTGTGTGGAAAGGTTATAAACAATTATTATCTTATCTGTTTTAGATTTTTTTTAACAACCTCAGTTTGGACTTCAGTTCTGAATGAATGTTTTTAATGCTGCCTTCCAGTTTTAGCAACTTTACAGAAACGTCTGTGATCACAGTCTTATAAAGCCTTTACGTTGCTGTAAGTTTGCTTTTTATGATTATTCCAACAGAAGTATTTGGATTTTCCAGGCAACATCTGAAGTATTGGAATTGCTGCTATTTGTGTTTGCAAATAACCACAGACTTTATGTAAATAACCCTGTAATGCAAAAGAGTTAAAATCCTCTGTACTTACACAAGTATAATGCAACCCCTAATTTTTTTAAACTTAGAATTCATAAAAAAAAACTAATCCTCATGTTTAACGCTCCTAATTTCAAACAGACTCTATAGGAAGGACAGAGGGAGAAAGTATGATTGATCCCCCATGACACAAAATTGCAGTTATGTACAAGAAAATATTGAAATTTATTGTGGTATTATGTTACAAAGAAAATCTTTCAAAATTTACTCCATGTAAAATACAATATCCTAATAGGATTGTTGGGGTTAATTTTTTTTTATATTATACATAAATACAGTATATTTTAGCTTGAAAATCTAGTCAGAATAAAACCCTGTTCCTCCAAACTGAGGCTGTTCAGAGAGCCGCTATCTGCAGCAGGTAAGATATTGTTTGTTTTTCACTGAATACCACTTGGTCACAGATCAGCACTGATTCTAATGAGTTTATAAACAAACAAATACRTCTTTGTTTTGTGTTTATTCCTATAAAAACTGAGTAAGATTTTTTTCCCACAAACGAGAAACCAGTAAAACAAAATCCAAATGACTGTTCAGCTGTTTTCACCGACAGTAACGTGTCTGCTATAATGTTTCTGTTCTGCACTGAAGCACAGAACTTCAGTCATTTGTCTGAAATAATCGTCTGTAATATTGTGCTTTGGCAGACTGAGCCTTTTTCAAGCAAATTGTCTTCTTTCAGAGTAAAATGTCTGTTTATCTGAGCGCTTTAACTCGTGTTTTGGGTTTTCCGGAGCGCCAAACAGAATTATCTGAGCCACTTTTCTCAGCCKGGGGTTTTTGTATATATATTGTAAATGTGTACATTGCATCTGCATTTTTAGAAACATTTTTTGTTAGTTTTTCTCTGCTTGTGTTTCTCTAACAAAAACAGAGACATCATCAACAAAACACAGGAGTTTTGGGACCTGTGTGTTGCTCAGTTTGCTACACGTCTGCRGAGAACGATGTCTGGATGTGATTTTACTCTGAAAACAGGCCGCTGAGCTGTTGATTTTTTTTAACTTGGCAGCTCGCTGCTGATCACTTACAACCTATCCAGACTTGTTACCATAGTTGAGTGTGTAGACAAAAAAACAGGACATCTGATGACTTGATTATCAGGTTGCTTGTGGTGTATTCTTTCACACAGTTACCTGTTTAGCAATTCTGGCTCCTGGAGCTGAAAGAAACCCATGACCAAAGAGGACATGCGTGATCTTGAATCAAGAAGAGCAACACGAGGGAAGCTGTGTGTATGTTTCTGTCACTGATGGGTCTCTAAAGATGAAAAAAGGCTAATCCTGTTTTATAGGCACTACTTTTCTTTTTCTTTTTTTAGGTTTATAATCAATTTGCCAAAACAGATAGATCACATCAAAACTGAATGGGGTTCATTTTGAACGTGATCTCAGTGTGTTTCTGTAAATAAATTATGGTTTTAGTGAAGATTGTTTCATCTTATGTCTGCTTTACTGCTCATTTTCTAAATGGGTTTCTGATGGTTAGTGCTCTGTATTAGCTTTCACAATGAGTAAATCAGGAAAGAAGTCTGGAAATCAAAGACGCTATAAAATTTAATTTAGATCAAGTTTATCACTTATAACAAGCTTAACACTCCTAAGTTTGGAGGTTTTTGCTTGTAGTAAATGTGATTTTCATCAAACTGAAGCAGAAGAATCTGATGAGAGTAACTAGATATTTGGCTGTCGTGTGGTGTGAGCACAACTGTAGTGCTGCAACAGGAGAAACGTTTATATCAAACAGGTTCAGTAACAGTTATAAAAAAGCTTAAACGCAGATATAACTAAATGAAGGACAGTGAATATTAATCAATATTCAAAAGAATATAAATGTGCATGAGTAAAAAGTAAGTGATTAAAATGAAACCAGTTCATAAAACAGGTGCACTAAACAAATACAGCCATTGAAACAATCCATAAATAAAAAGGTTAATAAATGGTTCAATGACTTATTTTCTTTAAGACAAAATGTAAGTTTATTTTATGAACAGAACAACTGTCACAGTCTCTGACATTCTCTGGTAGTTTAACCCATCAACGTGTTCTTCTTGTGCCGGGGCGTCAAACTCATTTTCACCAAGAGCCACATGAGCATCATAGTGGCCCTCAAACTCTATTGTTTTTTTTAACTTCGATTAAATACAAAATGTCATAATCCTCGTCTCATTGCTGAGCACAACTAACAAACAATAACTGAGCTCTATGTGGATTTTCCTGCATAGAAACAATTTTAACACTTCTTCTTATAAACACTGAAAAGTACTACATGTAGGAGTGACGAAATGTGATATATATATATA